CTGCCTCCTTTTCCTGTTTAGCAAAATATCATATTGCACATATTAATATTCCACTATGTGCTTTGCTTTGTGCCGGAAAGCGTACTGAAGAAAGTACAGTTGTCCTGCCCTTCCTTCCTTCTCAAGGTTTCCTTTTTCTAATCCTAACTGTAGATTAATATTGTTTATCAGTATTTCTCAGATTCTCTATTCATCCCAAAGATTATGTTTCTGTTTATTTTCTTTCGCTCTTAGCCTTAATTCTCCTTAAGATTTCTTCCCATATTTAAGCACATATCAAACAGAAATGCATTATGCATCACCTGATCCCCACTCTACCTATGCCAGATATTACCCTTACTCTGTCAATGATCTCACTGGGTTTATGTAACCTGGTGTCCAATAACTCGCCATTTGGATTGGGTTTTTTTTAATATGCCATGGATTGTGTACAAGTAGTTGTTTTTTCCTCCTCCCTTAAAAATATTTATTCTCATGATTATTTCTTGGGCAGGTGGTTTGGAACTCATTGTGCCCTTGTTATGCCCAACTTTTCCAATTACGTACTTTTGCTCAAGGTTCATCAATAGCTTCTGAGATATTATTTTGCACACAGTCCATTAAGTAAGCAGTTTTCTACGGGGTAGATTATTTTCCTCTCTTCATAGTTTAGGGTTTTTTTTGTGGGGGGAGTAACCCTAAATGTGTGATTTTCCAAGAATTCAAACATTTAGCGAAATCTAATTTACTCATTTTCTTAAAGAGAGACAAAGTGCTATTGATTTCATACCTATGAAGGACAAAAGATAGAGCAAATGTTAATGGATTCATCCATTAAAAAAAATGGTAATGTTCTTTTTCCCACAAGATTTTTAAAAATCTTAGAATCACACACATAAAGATAGATGAGCTGCTGTGTCAGGCTACAGTAAAAGAAGGGAAAGGATAAAAATTGTCCGTCACTTTAGAGATGAGCAAGTTGAATCCAGGATCCTGCTGCATAGGTAAAGCCAGATTTGACACTAGGATAATGCAAATGTGATACTGCTACAGAGCTCTGTTATAGCTACAGAGCTAACGTAGCAACCATGCAAATCTTCCTCCAGCACTCTTGAAAACTCCTATTATCCGTCAGCATTATGTTGCTGTCCGTGAAATGGGAGCACCAAGAAAAACGATGCAGTGGCTGGGACCTCAGGTGGCCTGTCCTAGAACAATTTTTGCCACTCTTGCCATTGGCTAGGACAGCAATGGCAAACCTTTTGGGCTTAGTGTGTCAAAAAATTGGGAGAGTACTACATAGTCTACTTGCTGTATTCAGAATTGCCTGACTCAATTCTGCCGTCCCAAACATAAGCAAAACAATTCTTTACATATTGACTTCTTGTTGTTTTATTTTTAAAAAACAACAAGAAGTCAATATATAAAGAATATAGCCCAATCATGTTGTCCTATGTACCGTATTATATAAGGAAGCATCAAATCATTAAAACATGAACTACAGGTAAAACAAATTTTGAGTGGGCCGTGGCCTCCAAAAAAAGTGCAGTGACCTCCCAAAAAAAATCACACAAGGAGGAGGCATGCTTTTGAGAATAGTTGTTGGATATTGTGGAGGCTGGCATGTCATCTTTAGCATGCATATAATACTGTAGGTTTGCCATCATTGGGCTAGGATTACATATTATACTCAACTCGGAGGAGGGCTGGGTTTCTAACATGAGTAACCTTCATACCTGAGGATGATGGGTACCTTAAAGCAAATGCAAATAAACCATACTAGGGTCAACCCTAAGCTGTGGAGGTATAAACCTAGAAGTGTGTACAGTGTCTCCGGAACCCTGGGGTGGGCCATTGCATTCAGTGAGCACACAAGGGGCTGTCAGAGTGCTCCATAGCTATGATCAGAATGAAGGAGCCAATTGGTGAGTATTACATGGTCTACTTGCTGTATTCAGGTAATGTTTGCACGGTCTTGAAATCAGCTCTCATTTTATTATATTCCCTTTATCTCAGTTCTTGGGCTGTCTATGGTAATCCATCATGAGGACTGTTTCAATGTGATTTAGTATATTATGGAACTGATCATAGGTATCCCAGTGTAAAATATCCCAGATGACAAAATATGCTTTCATGAGACAAAAACCTACAATTCGTACTTGCATCCGAATAATGTAGCAGTTGTGTTTGCATCATCACCTTACAACAGATGTCTTGTAATTGTCTTCCCTTTGCCTCCTCCTCTGGATGCTATCTGGGGAATTCTGGGAGTTGAAGTCCACATACCTTCATGTTGCCAATTTTGAAATGCCCTGTATGTAGTAAAGCAAAGGCTAGACAGGTGCTTCTTAAGAATTTTAATTTGGATCCCAAGCAACAGATTGTTCTCATTAACCACTCCCAGTGGAAGCCATGAAACACTGTAACATCACTGCAAGGAGTGATGCAAAAAATGTAATATGCATTAGTCACATCATGATGCAAATTACATACTGTGCATCATAAATATCATTTAGGAGGTGATGTCTTGACATATGTCATCGCTGCAGCCCCACACGCTCCAGACCCATATTTCAGGCTGGGTCTGAAATAATGGGGAACCATTATTGTGGTTTATTCCATAATCCATGGTGAACCCAAAGCATATATAAAATATAAATCTGAGCCATGACAGCAAGGTAGGCAGCTATTGTCAATCGCTGTACAGTTCAAAGAATCGGTTAGACCAGTTGGATTATTGATTTCATCCAGAGTGGCTCCCTACCATAAAATAAAACCATGTTCCATAGTCCACAGTACTTTTACTGGAGTTCCAATCCATGTTCAGGATTTTTGTTTCTTGAAAGCCTGAAAAGCTTGAGCGAAGGCCATGGATTTGGGGAAATGTAGTCCCAGCCCATTTGGAAGGTTAGAAAATATTTTGTAAGCATAGTTGACAATTGGACACGTGAGGTTTTCTTTAGAGATGGAGCCAGGATAGAACATTGCAGGTTGCAATGGAATTTGAATAGAACGAAGGTGGTTCAAAGTGAACCTGATAGTAGGATCTCACAAAACCTGCCACATTGCAAATGGGGTATGAGAAAAGATGAGTGTTTACTAGCTTTTGGGGTACTTTCTCATTGGATGGAGTGCTACTGAATGGTTCAACTCATATGTTTTCTTCTTGAATTCTGCCCTGCTTAGTTTTCGTAAGTTAAGCCAATACCAAACCAGAGAATGGAGAGGTTAGAGTTTTGGCAGGGAAGTCTGGTGGAACTTGATTATGATGGAAGATTAGGCAGGAGAGAGATTCAGCAAGTTGCTCTCAACAAAAGAAAATACCAAGCCCTTCTCTTGCTCTGAAGTTTATTTAAGCAAGTATTTGACACCAGTCCTGAAGCACAAATACCATGTGAGCAGGTATAAAAATTAATGGCTGACAAGTCTTTCTCAAGAGTCAGGGAAATTTCCAGGCACTGTGTGCTACCTCCAGAAACATTCAGCCCCAAAGGAAGCACCATTGCTTCACTTCTCTTCTTTTTTAAAGTTGCCTCCAAGGTTAGCTTGCTGCAACAAGAACATCTATGTAAAAAAGAAAATAAGTTTCACACAATGAAGAACAGATGTTGCTTCTTGCTGCAAAGTAAGCTGGTCCTTTCTTGAGTTTTTAGAAGCCTCAGTTAATAATGACAACGATCATGGCATCGCTAGCTGCCTCACACATGTGGCACCAATTTAGAAAAGTCTAAAAAACGCCAATTCAGAGAGCTGGTTTTGTCCTTTCAGGCCCAAAATATTTCAGAAGGAAATAGCTGAAGTAATGTCTTCTGGCAATCTTTAAGGGTTTTCTTTCAATCTTTAATGGCTGAGGACATTAACCTATGGTTAATAGAATCATGGCTTACTCAATTAACTCTGGGGTTGCATTCCTCACGAAACAGCAATTAACCACAATGGCTGGGTTTGTACAAGATAAAATCAAGCCTCTGAGTTGAGCTCAACCCTGGTGACCAAGCGGATACATCTGTATAGTTTCTTTGGCAGGATATGTAAATAGTTTGCAGTTGCCTACTTCCAGGATCTTGTTTTCCTCAACCTACCCCAAAGTCTTCGGATCTCCTAGTAGTCTCCAATCCACTAAGTAGATGTTGGAGGCAGATGCAAATCCCTGCTTTCCACAGCACTTTTAGAGATCCAAACTGAAGCCTTGTTCAACTGTATTGTGGCCTTGTTTGGCTCTTCTACAACAGCCAAGATCTGCATCGGAGCTGGACCTTGTATGAACCTAGAGAAATAGGCAAATGAACCACATTTCCACTGATGGCAGCCTCTGTATTAGGAGCAGAACAGAGTGTCCTCCCTAGAGAATTGGCTGGCTCTACTATCCTTTTGGGTGGTAAATTCAGCAAATCCATTTTTTTAAACATTTATCCTGGCATTTAAACAGAAAGGAGTATGTGATTGAATAAAATTTGGCTTTCTAAGGTTTTGGCTGCAGCCTTTCAATTTTGTTGTGTTTTCCTAAACGGGGTTCCACCCTGAAATCCGAGCGGTAGGTAGCAAAACACTTTAAATGAATTTAAAAAAAAAAAAAAACCCGTTGGTTTTAAAGTTATCACAGACTTTATTTTCACTTTATTTTTGTTCACAGGTTTAAAAAAAAAATTCCCCCACACAGCGAAACGCGAAAGCCTTTCCTGAAGGCAACGTCCTCCTCCTCCTCAGCAGAAACCCGCTTTTAGCTCTGCCTCCCAACAACAGCGAGCAAAAGCAATGGAATGAAAAGCAGCCGCGCCGGCGGCTGCAACCCAAAGATTAATTTTGAGGGCTCAGAGCCTCGCGAGCTCCTCCCTTGCCCGCCTACCGAGGGGAGCTGCGCTAACTCTGACGTCATTTTGATCCGTGTCCGCACATGGGTGTGCAAATGTTCTGAGAGCGGAGCAGGTGGCCCCAACCAGCTCTTAGGACTGGGAGGAGCGAGAGAGGTAGAAAGCGCTGCTTGGCTTATCTGGCCGGTAGGGTGGCCTCTTTTTTTTTTTTTTCCCTTCCCTTTCTTCTCTCTATCTCTCAAAAAACAAACAAAAAAACCCCAACTCCTCGGTCTAGTTTGCTATTATTGATGCAAAAACGTGATCCTGGGACGCCCCGATTCGCCTGGAGCGAGGTCGTCTGAAGCCAACTCTCCCTTCACACACACACACAACACACACACACACAGAGAGAGAGAGACAGACAGACAGACAGGCAGGCACACCCGCAGGACGAGAGGGCTCTTTTCCGAACGGAAGATCGATTTGGGATTCCCTCCCCCCCTTCTTCTTTTCTTTCCATCCTCTCTATTTCTTCTTCTACTTTTTTTTTGTTTTTGTTTTGGCTAGTTTAATCACATTGGCGGAGTGAAGGAAGGGCGAAAGAAGGATGGCTCGACCTCTTCCTTTGAACCCAGCTTTCCTACCTCCAACTTACGGGGTGCTGAAATCCCTGCTGGAAAACCCGCTCAAGCTGCCGCTGTATCACGAAGACGGTGAGGAAGAGAGAAAAAGAGAAATGGAGTGTGTGTGTGTGTGTGTATATAACAGAAGAAGGAGGAGTGTGGCGGTGGGTCTCCCTATAGTTCCCCCCACCCACCCCCACTCCTCCGCCCCGCTTTAGTGTCCTGCGGATTGTTGTATGTAAGCCGTGCGCAAGTTTCACAGAAAGCGGCGACCGAGCCGTGCGCGCGTCTAACCTAGCGTTGCTTTTGGGAATAGGGCTCTTTGCGTACCGAGGCGGGAGGCGGACAACTCCGCGCAATCTTGAAGCGCGCATTTTTTTTGTGTTTCGCCTTGCCGGCTGCAGTTGCGGTCTGGAGATCCTTGGGAATCGGTTCTGCTGAATCAAGCGGGATTGATTCCCTTGTAAATACGCCTAGGATTACCCGGAGAGGCAACGGCGTTTCTTTCTAATCAATCCTGCCTCTTTTTGCCTCTCTGTATGTTAGTCGGAGATAAGTCCAACTCCATACACTGGGCTTACCCTCAAGTAAGTATGCCTAAAAAACGGCTGCATAGCTTACTACTCTTTGCTCCAGAAATTAGCGCGTGCGGTTTGTTTATAGTGTAGCGTTAAAAAGTGACCGTACTGGATAGTTTATTTTTTGGTTGGCAGGTTCCGTTCAAATTGGAGCTGCTCTTTTGGGTAAGGTGCCTTCCGATACCACAGTTTGTCAAGAAGTCATAAAAGAAGGGATTCGGGTCAGTGTTTGTATGGTGCACTTCTGTGAAGAAGTAAATCTCCCTTTTAGTGGGGTTTCTCTCAGATAAATTGGGATTGCAGTATGGTTTTAACAGAATCTAGCAACTCTTGCCCTTGTTTGATTTAAAAGTCAGAGCATTTTATTTCTGTGGAGGTGATTTTGCAAAAAATGTGTACCTTGAATGGTAGGCACTCCCCATACTGCTTTTATCTGTATTACATGGGGCACACATTTATCCATAAATGTGTACAAGCAACTCCCCCCAATGCACAAAGACTACTTAAAGCCTATACTACATTAAAAAAAAAAATCTGGAGTGACTTGTTTCATACCTGAATCGGAAATTTTACTCATTCTTGAAATCAAAACTTGCAACATGTATTTTCCCCCTAAAGGTACTAGTAAAACCCAATTCAATCTCTGATTGAAGGTTTTAGAAGATTAAAATCTAAACCTTGAATTATTTTTAATAAAGTTCAGTTTCCCTAACCATTAAATTCCAATGCAGTTAAACGTCAGTAATAGCTAAGCATTGTACAGCATTCAACAATTTTCTATGATTTTTCTATAATATTCTCTATCGCCTATACTTTAATACTCGTGCAGTGTAGTTTAGACTCATCTCATTCCTGTTGACTATGAACCAATGCATACATTTTTCCATTAAAAAACCCCAAACACAAGAATAAGATATCAGGATTAATTATGTTGGTGTAATGTGTCACTATGAAAAGAAAGTTTTTGGGGAAGTTCTTTCAGATCATAGCAACTTGAAATATTGCCAGTGCTGAAAAATCGGATTTAGGAACGGTAAATGTTCAAATAAAATATATTTGAAGAGGGTGACCAGTTGCTGAGAAATGCATTAAGGGTTACTTACAAATTTAGGAAGTGGCTACCAATAGCTATTTGTCAGCATAAATAAATCTAAATCAAATAGATACGAAGGAATAAACTACAAGTTGCACAAAGATCCATAATTACCATTTTATTGCTACTTTGCTGCAAGAAAAATCCACCAAGAGGGAGGGGGGTTACAATTAACTTTGCAATTTCCTACACAGTGTACAAAAAGTTCTGGTACTTGGCTTCAAAACAAGTGTGCACTTCAAAACAATCCCAGGCATAGGAGTAGAAGAAAGGGGAGATACAAATCTGGAAATGGTTGTAGGAAGAAGCTAAAAAGGGGTTTAATAGTTCCAGCCTCTCTGTTGCCACCGCCAGTTTATTTTTAACCAATCTTGTGAAATGCAGTTGTGACTCCCCTGGGTAATGTTTGGCTTGTTTTACAGCTTCTCATTATGAATTTGTGTTCAGTTTCTAAGCAGCAAATGATGAAGATTGGACTAAATTAGGCTATTTTACTAAGATAGCATTTCCAGAATTCCTAACTAGCATGAATGTTCACCTAGGTAATTGGGTTTTTAAAAACCATTTAAATAAATCAGTTGTGGTTATTTATTTATATTTAAAACATGATATGATGCTCTTCAAAATTGATTTGAAGTAAGTTAGCAATGCATTACAAACACAATGTGTATTCTATTCTTCTTAAACCTATTTGAAGTAGTAACTGGTTACATACATTGCAGAAACCATAATCTTGCTTTTATTATTTGGATTCTGTGTAATGTATACAAATACAGCCACTGTAGTGACTAAACTCTGGCTGACTGCGTTGTGCAATACCAGTTAGTGGTGGCTTAAATGAAACCATGTTTAATAAACCACGTGCTTAGCACAGATATATAAACCCTTCCCTTATGAGTAATTTCTATTCTGTAGCATTTTATCAGGCAAATGCCATATTCCACTATAACCATTTGAGCAATTTTTTCTCCATTCTGATGAAATCTTGGAGTGGTGGTGTTTGAAGTTTGCAATTTGCTTGAAGCCAAGAATGCAGATGATTTGCAAGTTAAAAGCAGAGATGGAAAACATACATGGCCTTAAGGAGCTAAAAAATATACCCAGGGACCTTAATTGTGTTCCAAACAGAGAACCCCAAACACAAAATAAGTACAAAAGAGTTCTCTTTATTTTCTTCCTAGCAAAAAACTAGCTAAAACGTTCCTCACCTTTCCTTGTCTTCCCCTTCCCTTTCTAGCATTTTATAAAGAAAAAGACAAAGACAAAAAACTGGATGACGACAGTACCAGTGCCACTGTCCCACAGTCTGCTTTTCTGGGGCCTACATTATGGGACAAGACACTTCCCTATGATGGTGACACTTTCCAGTTGGAATACATGGACCTGGAAGAATTCCTCTCAGAGAATGGCATCCCACCCAGTCCAGTCCAGCACAATCACAGCCCTCATCAGCCAGCACTTCAGCAACCTACCTCAGCCTCACCACCTGTCGTGGACCTCAGCCACAGAGCATCCACATCGGTCCACCCGGCCATGGTTTCCCAAAACTGTATGCAAAATACAGCCAGGCCAGGTAAAGTAAGAGGTCCTTTGATTTATTTATTATTATTTTTTTGCACCATTGGTGAGTTCTATATATGTGTCACATGGAGCCTTTTCCATTCAGATTGTGAATATGTGTGAAGTCCTGGAAAGAAACTTGATTCAGTTCAGGGAATGGGAGATTGGACTGTGCTCCTTTCTTTTCCAGGGTCTCACCCTTACTTCATTCAAGATGAGAGCTTTGACTCATGTTCACCAGTGTTGTCAAAACTCACACTCAGTATTTCTTCTTGCTTTGCCTGCGCACACCTGCAGTGAGCAGCTGCAATATCACCATGTTTGAAAACAGCTCAAGATATGTAGATTCAAAAGCAATTGAGAGAGAAAGAGAGAGAGAGAGAGAGCGCCCTGGTGTGCTGCAGTGGTTAGAATGCAATATTGCAGGCAAACTCTGCCCCACTGCCAGGATTTTGATCCTGACTGGCTGAAGGTTGAATCCTATCCATCCTTTCGAAGTTGGTAAAATGAGGCCCGGATTGTTGGGGGCAATATGTTGACTCTGTACACAGCTTAGAGAGGGATGTAAAGCACTGTGAAGCAGTATATAAGTGCTATTGCTAAAATTAAGCAATATACTTATTTCTTGCCCAGCCAGAACCTGAATGAAATCATTAGTTCTATACATGGAGACTGCCATGCATATTCATTTATTTTTTGAGGAGGGGTTGCAATACACAGAATTTACTAACTCCTCTGGGGAGATTCTCATTCAGATACATACAAGGAGTGTCATTTTAAAACTTCTGATTCAATATAGCAAGGCTGGTAAGATGAAGAAGGGGAGTATTGGAAAAGAGCCAGCACCGGTTCAAGCCTTCTGTTCCGGTATACTATCTGGACTATTTACGTAAATATGCTGGATTAATATGAAGCCTTACACCAAAGTCTTCCCATACTGTGTTACTTGGAGCAAGGAGGGAAGTCCTCAAACTGAAGTAACTCTCTGTATTATTTGGAGAATGTTTTTCCCCAAGAACCACATAAGTAGAGCCTCTTGCTACCAATTGGGCTCTCTGCGTGCAGGGAGCCAACCAGTATTTGCATGTACAGGAACCCTGCTTTGGTTATACCCATGCACTTCCTTACCTAAATGCTGCCATATTGGTGTGGGGAAATGGCTCTCCTTATTTCTAAAAATTGCATGAGAGCTACCATCTTACATTTAGAATTAATGTCATGTCTGAATGGGTGTTTTGAAAGATTCATGAGATGTGCTGGAATTACTTACATTCCAGGTTGCACATCTGTTTGCAATAGGTTAGGAACCTGTAGAGCTCCAGATGTTGCTGAAGTACAGATCTTGTCATCCGTCACTATCAGGCAGGGTGTTGTAGTTCTTTAATATCTGGAAGTAAGGTCTTCAGCTAAAGGGAGGCAACACAAAATGCTAATAGCAGACACTAACATGTGCTTGAAGGAATAATGGAGAAACACTAGAATTCATAATGAGTTTGAATAGTTTATTCTTCATTGAAGGAAGTTTTGCATAAAAATAACTACTGTCAGATTTATTTATTTTTAAGTCGCTGTGGAAGAATTTTGCAAATGATGAAGCTATTCTTAGTTTTGTTAGAATTCAGATTTACTTCAATGAAGTGTTGTTACAACAATATCAGCAGTCTCTTAATTACAACATTTCTGAATGGTATGTGATTAATACGTCTCATCTGACAGATACTTGCTTATATATCCAGGAAATGTCACAGTCCCTTTGTTGGAGTGCCCAGAAGATTACTTGAGAAATCTTACAAGGAACTGAGAACATTACCTTGAAAATGTCCCTACAGTTATTCTGAAATAATCATAACACTGCTTTAAACATTCTTTTTTAAACAGCGAAGCAATTTGGAAATGTTTCAAAACTGAGCCTGCAGTCCTAATTACATTTATTAGGGCTACTCCCCATGAAAATTGTGGGATATCTAGGACAGTTCTATTTATGTTTACAAGTTGATCTGTCAAACAAGCAGTTAGGAAAAGGAGAAATATATGGTGGGGTGGATGAGTTGGCCGTTTTATTCATAAGCACTTTGAATTCATCCTACATAGAATTAGGGAAATCTGCACGAAGTGCAGTTTGGCCCTATATTTCATTTTCACTTGGGTTATTTATTGCTTAACTGGCTTCTGCTCGAATGGGAGCTCATTGTCAACAGCAGGAAACCATGTTACTTGCTCCCTGGTCCTGGGATGGGGAACAAGAGATTGTTGTCAAAGACGTATAAGTCAAAATAAATCAAGTGGCTAGCATTGAGAGTGGAAAAGAATGGTATAGAAAATCAAAGCCACAGACTGTGTGATTGTCACAAACTGGGAGGATACTGGTGATCTAGCTGCATTTCTCTGAAAATCAGAGCCAGATTCCTTATGGACATGCACTTCAGTTGATGATTTTGTGAACGAACATTTATTTTAATTGGAATTGAAACAAGTGTAAGAATTTCAGATGGAGTCAGTTCACTTTTCTCGGAAAAGCTATTAAATGCTGAATAGTAGTAAGTGATGGGAACGCGGTTGTGAATTGGTTCCAACCAACTAGTTTCTTTGCACATAAGTGAGTATGGTGTCCCAAGCACAGTTCCACATATAAAGAAAGTGCTGAGTTGAAAATGTGTGTTTGGTGTGCAGCGCACACCACCACAGTGGCTTGGGCTTCCTAGCCCATGTGTTCTCAGAATCAGATGCATGATGGAAACTTATCCTGGTGGCATTTTTTATTTGCTTTTGAGGTGTGATGATGACAAGTTCCATGTGTAGCTTTTGTAACTTTTGAAACAGCGTTGAAAAGAAGCATGATGGAAAGGGAGTCATTTTTTTAAGGAGAGAATGATGGGTTTTGGAAGCAGCATTGGCTGCAGGAGAAATGTGGATTACATCAAGGGGAGAAAAAAGAAAAAAAAAGCCTTAAAAGGTAGTTTCTCTGAGCTTGGCTAGTCCCTTCCTGTGAATTTCCTGTCAGGTCCTCCCTGAAGGTGCCTTGGCAAGAATCATTTCCCTTTCTCACTTGTGGATTCTGCCTGACATCTCAAACCTGGTCCTTTATGTTCTCTATGCTTAAGAGGGCAAGGAGGTTTCGCCCCCCCCTCGCAACTAAAAGAAAGCAGCATGGGTTTAGCATTATGGAAGCACTTTGAGACGCTCCATGGTGGTATCACATGGCTTCCCCACACATAAAACTCTTGCAAAAAAGATGAAGACTAGGCGAGCATCACCTTTGGTGGGTAAATCTTCCACCGGCAGGGAGGATTTGATGTAGTAATGCTTCCAAGACAACTGTTTCTGCCACATGTCAGATGCTACACTATCCTCCGAATTGTGTCACGTTCCCTCTATATCTTCGAAATGACTTTATGGTATGCCTCAAGGGCCCAGCACAGGATGGAGGGTAGAAAAAATTATTAGAATGATAATCCTTCCCTTCACCGTATCTTTTTGGGAGAGCAGGAAAAGCAGCCAATCTTTACATGGTCACCTGGTCAAGGTTCATTTGCAACCTCTTTTACAAGTCAGGCCTAGCTAAAATTTATGCTCTTGGTTGATTTTAGAAAACACCCCATCCCTTGGCTCGCTCTCCCCATGCCCCGGTGCTTGAGGAACTTCAAAATACACTTCTAAATTGTCTTACTGCCAAAAGTTACGTTGATTGCAGGTTTTGTTGTTAGCATCTACAAATGCCCCTCCTATTTAAAAAATCATGCCCAAAGATTCCTTAGAATCTCCAGTTTGTAAGCCAATAATTTATTTTCAGTCTAGATCTGCAACATGAACAATACAACAAAGCAATAGAGACTTTGCCATAAGCAAGAGTTTCTTTCCCTCACCTCAAGTGACTCAGCAAGCACATATACATTTGGAGCTACAGGGGCCAAGGTTGCAATGGATTGAGGTGTTGCCTGTCATCATTCACATTAGAAATGACTTAAGTAACAAAACTGATGCTTTCTACGGTCTAGGTCAGTTTGCCACAGCCAATTCAGTACAGCCAACTCACCATGGGACAACTCGCTATGCGAGAAGAATCATGCAAATTTCAAAGAAATGGCGAAATAGAATTATTAAAGAAATAATGCAAAAGGAGGGACAAAATGAAAGTTGAATAGCAAACATTAAAATCTTTTAAGAATTATTTTAAGTAAGTAACTTCTTAAGAAACTTCTTTTCCTCACTGTTTTAGTTCAAAAGATCATGTAATGAACTGGGGTCACAATTTGAGGAGCAGATTGTGTGACCCATGCCCCCTAGACTTTCCCCAGCAAGGTGACTAGTAAGTGGACGATAGGCAAATAGCAACAGAAGTTGGTACTGTTAGTGTCCTGGCACTGACAACAAGATAATAAGAAAAAAGGCAAAGAAATTAATTTAAATTTCCCAGGATGTTCCTGCCTCTCCGGGTAAACCAAAACAGTGACTTCCATGACTTTGCCAAATGGTGGTTGCAGTGGCTTTATGTGTTGGTGAGCCAAACTCTGAAATGTGTGCAAGACGTGTTTCCCCAACTTTTAGAAAGGAAGGTTGCAGATGGATACAGATTCACATATCTGTGCTAACTTCCTTCTGTTTATGGCAATTTGGCCATAAAAATAACAATGGAAGTTATTTTGAATCCTGATTGCAATATTGGATTGATTAAAAAAAACACAAATCTTGAATTGGCAGATGATTGAAGGGTAAGTTTGGACAAGTGACATGGTATATCCATTTGTTGCTTTCATTTGACTACTGAAAGAAAAATTAAGGTGTCAAAAATACAAGAATCCAACTTAGGTTTATCAACCGTTACGGGGAGGAAATATGTATACATCTCTCTGGTCGATAGAAATGAACAAGACACAAAAAACATTAGGGTTTGATTTATTTTCTTATTGCAAATATTTGTACACTGACTTCCATTATAAATCAAGAAGCTGTTTACATTAAAATAAAATGAAATTCAGTTTTATGATCTGGCATTTTTATATTTGTACTGTTCTG